TATCATGCATACCTTCAAAGAGGATTTCTATGGGGAAATCCTCAGTGTGGTCATCGTTGGCTACCTCAGACCAGAAAAGAACTTTGATTCTTTAGGTAAGCTCTTATTTTGATCTTCTTAAATCTTACTACTGCTACCACAGCTACTTCTGCTGCCACTAGTGGTAATAACGATGGCAGGACAGATGATATTTGAGCATTTAATATATGCCAGGTACTGTTTTAACCACCTTACATGAATTTAACTCCTTTCATCCCCCACAACAACCATATGAGAAATTATTTTGTGTATTTTGCAGATGAGGAAATTGGCACAGAGAGGTTAAATAACTTTCCCAAAGTCACATAGTAAATGACAAAGCCTAGATTCAAACTCAGTGGGCAGGCTGCCTCACTCCAACAGTGTGAATTTATGATATCCTTCAAAATGTTTGAAGTAGGACCAGCATGGTGGCTCACTCCTATAATTATAGCACTCTGGTGGGAGGCCGAGGAGGGAGGATCACTTGAGGTCAGGCAAACAAGACCAGCCTGAGCAAAAGTAAGAACCTATCTTTTTTTTTTTTTTTTTTTTTGAGACAGAGTCTCACTCTCTTGCCCAGACTAGAGTGCCACGGCATCAGCCTAGCTCACAGCAACCTCCAATTCCAGGGCTCAAGCAATCCTTCTGCCTTGGCCTCCTGAGTAGCTGGGACTACAGGCATATGCCACCATGCCCAGCTAATTCTTTTTTTTTAGATAATTTTTAGTTGGCCAATTAATTTCTTTCTATTTTTAGTAGATCTTGCTCAGGCTGGTCTTGAACTTCTGAGCTCAGGCAATCCTGCCTTGGCCTCTCAGAATGCTAGGATTACAGGTGTGAGCCACTGCGCCTGGCCATAGAACCTATCTTTACTAAAAGTAGAAAAAATTAGCCAGGCATGGTGGTGTGCGCCTGTAGTCCCAGCTACTGGGGATGATGAGGCAGGAGGATCGCTTGAGCCCGGGAGTTTGAGGTTGCTGTGAGCTAAGCTGACGCCACGGCACTCTTAACAGGGGCAACAGAATGAGACTCTTTTTGTCTCAAAAAAAAGAGAATAGATAGTGAATATTTGTTTCTTCCATTTAATATTTACAGTGTACATTTTTGCCTATACCTTTCTCTAAGGTATTATAAGATTGGGTACATCTTTTGTGTGCAGTTGACTTTTACTTAAGCCTGGAAGAATGGATGAAACAAACATTAATTGGATATCTACCCTCTGCCTGAGATATTGCCAGCCTGTGAGTTTTTAGGAGAGGTGGAACAAAAGTGTAGTAAAGAGTATGTTAGGGCTGGGTGCAGTGGCTCACCCCTGTAATCCTAGCACTCTGGGAGGCAGAGGTGGGCGGATTGCTCGAGGTCAGGAGTTCGAAACCAGCCTGAGCAAAAGCGAGACCCCGTCTCTACTATAAATAGAAAGAAATTAATTGGCCAACTAATACATATAGGAAAAATTAGCTGGGCATGGTGGCGCATGCCTATAGTCCCAGCTACTCGGGAGGCTGAGGCAGCAGGATTGCTTGAGCCCAGGAGTTTGAGGTTGCTGTGAGCTAGGCTGCTGCCACGGCACTCACTCTAGCCTGGGCAGCAAAGTGAGACTCTGTCTCAAAAAAAAAAAAAAAAGTATGTTAGCACTTTTTTTTATCATGTTTTCCTGATTTATTCTCTCTGCAGAGTCACTTATTTCAGCAATTCGTGGTGATATTGAAGAAGCTAAGAAACGACTAGATCTACCAGAACATTTGAAACTCAAAGAAGACAATTTCTTCCGGGTTCCTAAAAGCAAAATACTGAATGGCTATTAATGGAAAATCATCTTATTTATTCATTCACTGTTTTCACTGTTTATAACTGTCTAGTCTTCATCTTGGTTATATTTTAAAAATCATTTTCCTTCTGTGAATTAAACAGTACAATGTAGTTACCATATTGTTTCACCTGTTAAACCCATCATGTAATAGCACTACAGAGATTCATTTAAAAATCAAGATTTTTAAATATGTTTATTAAAATGTACCACTAAAAAGGTATTAAGTGTCTCTCGTGATGAAAATGAAATGTTTATAAATGTAGGTAAAAAAGTAAGTCACTAGTTTGAGATTAGAACTATAATTCTCATGGTAAAATACCAGCATGTATGTACTTGTATATCATATACTACTAAGCAGAGAAAGCTTATAAAAGTAAATACATGAAACAAAAGTTTGATAGTTTATTGTAAATCTAAGGGGGGAAAATTCAGACTATTTTTGATATTTTGTGCATTAATATATTATTACTAATGTGAAAATTTTTTTATTCATTCCCTTTGAAATCAATCATTGTACATCTTAAGTTTTTGTACAGAGCTGCCTCAATTCTAAGTGGTCTACTTTTTCATTTGTATAGTAAGACAGTAAAATGAATGTTTTTTGAATCTATAGAGCTTATTTTTTGTTGGATAATAACACTTCTTTTTTTTTTTTTTTTGAGACAGAGTCTCGCTTTGTTGCCCAGGCTAGAGTGAATGCCGTGGCGTCAGCCTAGCTCACAGCAATCTCAAACTCCTGGGCTCAAGTAATCCTGCCTCAGCCTTCTGAGTAGCTGGGACTATAGGCATGGACCACCATGCCCCGCTAATTTTTTTTTTCTATATATTTTTAGTTGTCCAATTAATTTCTATTTATAGTAGAAATGGGGTCTCACTTTTTCTCAGGCTGGTTTTGAACTCATGACTTTGAGTGGTCCTCCCACCCTGGCCTTCCAGAGTGCTAGGGTTACAGGTGTGAGCCACCATGTTCAGCCAACACTTCTTTCTTTTAAGAGTAGATATTCTTCCTCAACATTTTTCTTGCCCCCCCCCCTTAAACAATTGACAGTGTCAGTTTATTCCATTTAGAATATCCTACTCTGCAGGACACGGGAAGGGAAGCTGGGACAGGAGGATCACTTGAGGCCAGCCTGGGCAACATAGTTGAAACCCCTTTCTAAAAAAACATTAGTTTTCAAAATTAAAAACCAGAATATTCTACTTAAAAGAGATTGCATCTGCTTATACCATCCTGTCCCTTCACTGTATGAACAATAATTAAGTAAATGTGTGTATTGCATTTTAAAACAAACAAGCCAGGCACAATGGCTCATGCTTGTAATCCCAGCCACTCGAGAGGCTGAGACAAGAGGATCATTTGAGACTAGGAGTTTGAGACCACTATGGGCAACATAGCAAGACCCAATCTCTTAAAAAACCCCAACTTCATCTTTAGGTTTCCTCAAGATTTACGTGAACATGTAGCTGTTTGTTTAGATGTACCAATTTCTTGAACACAAGATGCTTGTTTCCTCCCTACCAAAACTAAAAGCCAGTAAAACTATGAAATGAAAGTATTTTTATGTTCCAGGGCAAATCTAAGCTGTCGTAGTTGTTATGCACAATGTAATTTAATGCTAGTCGAAAGAATGCTTGTAGCCTGAGGGAAAGGCATAAATAAAGTTTTAGTTAAATCTTAAATATTATGGATTTTTATTCCTACTGTGATTTTTGGTCACATAAGTCTTTTTGTTGACAGAAAGTTAAAATCTTGGATATTTAGAAGTTTAAGATTACAGATTGGGTCCCCTCAGCACATTGCATCATTGTTCACTTTAGTGATAGATTTGGTGGTGATGGAGGAGGGTAAGGGTAGAAATATGTAGGAGGTAATTTTAAAGATACTTCATAAATCACTTTTCCCTAATCTGCATAAATGAGTTAGAACTGATTTTTTTTTTTTTGAGACAGAGTGTCACTTTGTTGCCCAGGCTAGAGTGCCATGGAGTCAGTCTAGCTCACAGCAACCTCAAACTCCTGGGCTCAGGCAATCCTGCCTCAGCCTCCCGAGTAGCTGGGACTATAAGCATGTGCCACCATGCCCGGCTAATTTTTATATATATATATGTATTAGTTAGCCAATTAATTTCTTTCTATTTATAGTAGAGACGGGGTCTCGCTCTTGCTCAGGCTGGTTTCGAACTCCTGATCTTGAGCAATCCGCCCGCCTCGGCCTCCCAGAGTGCTAGGATTACAGGCATGAGCTACCACGCCTGGCCTTGATTTTAATAAAGTATACAGAAAAACATAAAGCCATTGGAGAAGAGGGAAGCATATAAATTCAGTTGAATTGTGTTTTACTTTTTGATGCATGAATTTATGGTAAACTACGCAGTTTGTGGCTTTCATTTCTTTATTAAAAATATTTCAAAAATATAATTTTTAATGTTAGAAATCCTCTACTTGAAGGAAGCCTCAATTGTCAGTGGCTTTGTGAAGCAAAGTTGAAAATAAACTAGGAAAATGTAAAAACAATTGTGTTTGTTTTGTCTAACTAGCTTGCTGCTAATTATGTTCTCTTAAGTGTATGAATTTTTTGATATTTTATTGTCACATTTTGTTAAATAGCATTGCTTTTGAGAATTAGATAGTGTGTTCTTTAGGGGTTAATTGTATCTGCATTTTTCAAAGTTTTATATTATGTATTATAAGAAGTTACAGTAGTACCATTTTGATTAGTCTGATTGTTTTCAGGCCTTGAAATAAATCGTGAGTGATAGTTTTTTCTTTCCCTGTGTCAGTTTGAATCTTTTATATGTTTCTAATTTGTTGGCTGATTGTTACTTTAAATGGGTTAAGGGCCAGGTGAGGTGGCTGATGCCTGTAATCCTAGCACTTTGAGAGGACAACAGGAAGATCACTTGAGGTCAGGAGTTATCAGCCTGAGCAATACAGTGAAACCTGTCTCTACAAAAAAAAAAAAAAATTAAATGCATTAAATTGAATAGCAGGTTTATAGGTGGCGCCGTAAGGAGAACCTGGCATGCAGTGGTAGTTCTACAACCACGTGCCTTGCCTTCATGAGCCCATTTTTTATGTCTGCAGAACAGTGACTGAGGTTTGTTTGGAAAGCATTTACAAGACATCAGTACTCCAAAGTCCTGCTTTCTGAGACTGAGGGTTCCCGTTATATTTATTAGTTATAAGAGCTAGAGGAGTATAAAAGTAGGTCTGGGTTATTTTGTATAACTACTGCTCCAAAACAGTTCTGTAACCTTCATGCCTTTCGACACCAACCCATAAGCCATAACTTAGAACTCATTTGCTTTTAGAACTGAGAAGTACTGGTGTAAAAAAAAAATAAATAAATAAATAAAAAAAAAAGAACTCATTTGCCTTTCACTGGCATGCCTGTACTCTGAACACATCCCCAGAACTCTCATCCTCCTTAACTATGGAGGCTCATAAACTTGCAGTTGGGGGCTGACCATGTAATGCAATTCTGATCAAGAAGATATAAGCTGAAATCTGCCCGGAATTTCCGCAGGCAGGTTTGCTTTCCTGGTAAAAGTGCTAGCCTTTTCCTGTTCCCCTCTTAACTGGAGAATGGATGTGAAGCTGGTAGAAGAGATTCAACATGGCCTTTAGAAATTGATCAGAGAAACAAATCTTCCCTGCTGAAAAAGATGCCATCCTAATCAGGCCTGTAGTCCCAGGTGCTCCAGAGGCTGAGATGGGAGGATCGATCAAGCCCAGGCATTCCAGGCTAGCCTGGGCAATGTAGTGAGACCCCGACTCTTAAAAAAGAGATGCCATCATCAACAAAAGATAGCAGAAACAAATTGATTATAGAATATGCTCTACAAATATGGGATATAGGGATTATCAGATAAAGAATTTAAAATGATTTTGATATGTGTAAAGAAATAAAAGAGAACATAAAAATGGTAAAATAATAAGGTTATATAAAAATTGGGCAGATTTGAGAATTGTCCAAAATAGAATAGTGGTTAAAACAATGAAAAACTTAATGGATGGGTTCAATACAGATTAGACAACAAGAGAGTCAGTGTAACTGTGCTCATTTACCTATTGTCTGTGAGCTCCAAATTCGCCATCTATACTCTGCGATGTGGCTGTGATTCTACATTTCTTTGACAGTTGGCATACTTTGGTCCGGTAGTAAATGAAGTAAGCCCCAGCTTGTTTCACAGGCAGTTCAGTAAGTCCTTGGATCTTCCCTATGCCTGAGCGTATATTTGGAGTAAACATTCTTGACTACTGTCAGACTTCCCACTTTGATTCCTTGACCATTACAAGGACGAAGTAGAAGTTAGGTTAGTAAATCACAACAATGCTACCTCTCTAGGGAAATTGCAGAAGTCACCATCGGAAATCCTAAAGGGTCCGGGCTTGGTGGCTCTCGACTGTAATCCTAGCATAATGGGAGGCTGAGGGGGGAGGATCGCTCGAGGTCAGGAGTTTGAAACCAGCCTGAGCAAGAGTGAGACCTGTCTCTACTAAAAATGGAAAGAAATTAGCCAGACAACTAAAAATATATAGAAAAAATTAGCCAGGCATGGTGGCACATGCCTGTAGTCCCAGCTACTTGGGAGGCTGAGGCAGAAGGATTGCTTGAGCCCAGGAGTTTGAGGTTGCTGTGAGCTAGGCTGATGCCACAGCACTCACTCTAGACTGGGCAGCAAAGCAAGACTCTGTCTCAAAAAAAAAAAAAAAAAAAAATCCTAAAGGATTAGCCAGTGTGGTGATACATGCCCATGCCCCATAATGCCAGCTACTCAGGATGCTGAGGTGGGAGAATCGCTTAAGACACAGAAAATTTCTAAAGATTGGTATAAAGAATGTATTGAACACAACACAATGGAAAAAGAAATTAGTAAGGCTTATTTTTATTTTTATTTTTTTAGAGACAGGGTTACCCAGTTTGGTCTCAAACTCTTGGCCGCAAGCAATCCTCTCACCTCAGCCTCCCAGAGTGCTGGGATCACAGGCACGAACCACTGTGCCCAGCTGATATTGTTACAGCAAAGCTGACCGAGAACAAACCGAATGACATGAAAAGGGTGGAAAGAACCAGGTTTATTTATGCCAGCAGGCTCAGAGGGGGCTTGCCACCAAATTCTGAGCCCGGAACAGAGTGTAGCAGTCTTTTATACATTTCGTTTTAGGGAGGGTGTAGGGCACAGTTACAAGGTGGTTATCTTTAGTGGGGCAGGGTCTCCAGCGACACCAGTTCCTGGCATATAGTTTCTATAGAATTTCTTCCTGTCTTATCTTACCATGGCAGAAGTTGCTGCAA